TAGATAAGTAAAATCTGAAATGTTAATAATACAAGCAGAAATACTGATTTCAGCGCCGTTAAATAGTGAAAGTGAGTTTTTATACTGGCGGTTATTTTCTATGGTTTCAAATGGTCTTCCTGCCTCCTCCTGAATAACTTGAAGCATCTCAGTCTTCCAATAATGAACAAACAGGTTTAAGGACATTGTGTGTGTGTGTGTTTATCTATGCAGTATTTGGTCTCATGGTACAGTAACTCTATCTCATGTCTATCTCAACATGCAACTGTAAAAAAAGTGTCAAATCCATGTTGATGATGCTGATAAACCAGCCAGCATCTTGTTGAAAATTAAGCTCTAAGCTGTTCAACTGAACTTCCTCCTCTGTCTGATGATGTCATCATGATGCAATAATGTACAGATCAGCTGCTGCTTTTCTATTCTCTTCGCTTCCTTATCAGCAATACTGAGGTCTGAGAGTCTTGATACTAGTCTAAGTCTTGATACTGGGGCCGAGTTGCAATACTGGAATGAAACAAACAGGGATGTTAAAATTGACTAAAATTGAATTGTTGTTTCTAGTTGACGTGATACAAACTTGTCATTTTTGTTCAAACCGTTGTAATGTTTTCGTTTAAAACTGAGATTGGGAGTGTGTGAGAGTGAGCGTATGTGTGTGTGTGCATGTGTGCTCTCTCCGTGCTTGGATTTAACTTCTACCATCTGATTTTATATATATAAAATAAAATAAAAGCACATTTTTAATTTACCCGGACGTACGGAGCCCCTACATTTTTTTATCTAGTGCCTGCAAGATAATAACTTGTGCACATAAGATAAAATGATAATATAATTATTTAAATAATAATAAAATATCACCTCTTGGGACTTTAGGGGCTCCATACAGAGGAAAAGCAAACAGTGAATAATTAAAGTGTTAAGAATCAGTTGACCCAAACTGCTGCACACAGGGCTCCACTCTGAACAAGAAAGTCATTCTTTTTAACACATCAGATACATTCGAGTTACCTGCAGTAAACAGAATTTAGTTTAGTTGAAAAGTTATTTGTGCTGTTAAATTTGAATTTGATCAAACTTTTTTTAAACTCAAATTGTGGTAACACATTCGATTCAGCTTCCTGAGACTCTGCACAAAAGGAAAGCTGAGATTTAATCAGTTCAACTAATAATAATAATAATCTCTAATAATCTTCATCATTCAGAACTTTCAGAGATGATTTTGAATGGAGACAGGTGGATTACTTAAATTGGATTGTCTAGATGTTGGTGAAACATAGATACTTCCTTTTGATTTCAGCTGAGAACAGTAGTGTTCAATCTTCCTCAGACATGTTAACAAGCAACACTTTCTGCTTCAGATAACCTCCATCCACTTCTTCATGTACAGTATTTATTCTCTGACCTTATTTTATATGATGATGATGATGATGATGATGATGATGAACTTGTCAGGTTGAGATTATGTAACATTTCTCTCCTTATCATTTTTTTTCTGTAACTTTGTTTTATTTGTTTTCATTAAAAAAACTGCTGAACATCCTACATCAATCATGTATTCTTTATAAATAAATAAATTAGCTGATTGGACTTTTTTACTGATTCATTGATGTTCTGATCAGGACTTATTCTCTCTTGTATACTTAAGGATCAGCTCAACCAAGAATACATTCAATAACTTGATATTTACTGTTGCAGAGACTCGTCCCTTAGTTTTGCCTTCTACTTGAGAGAACAAATAATTAAGGAACATATTGATTCATTTTATCCAGATTCGCAATGTCAACACATCTAATGCAACTTTAATGACTTAATGACTATCATGTGACACTGTATCTCATGTGATCTTGATATTACCTTAATTAGTCTCATGAGACCTTGAAGACCACAACTTCAGTGACTATCATGGGACCTCAGTGACTCTCATGAAACCTCAACTAATCTTAAGACACATTGAGTCTCACAAGAACTTAAAGATTCTCCTGTAACCTCACTGAGTCTGATATGTTATTTGCTGCTCTCATGTCACCTTCATTAGTGAGACCCCAAAGACACAGCTATGACATGTGACTTCATGTGACCCCAATGCTTCCTGTGTTACTATAACAACAAACTCTCTTCATGTGTCAGCAAGAGGACACTTAACCCACATCAACATGGATGCCCATGTTTGTAGGCACGTGGCCCACTGTTGGGGTTCAGAGCGCCATCTAGTGGGGCAATGGTACTGCTAAATGGTTAGATTAAAATTAAAACTTGTTTTGTTTTTTGGTAATTTACAAAGCTAGATATTTTTATTTCTAAATGTGATCAAGACTTTACATAAATCAAATACCAAATACAATTATGTTTGAAGGTAGAGACAAGCATGTTTTGCCACTGTTGCCAACTTCCATTTAGCCGAAGTACTCTTTATACCTTTTCTTCAATTTCTTTAAACTCTTCACTACATATATTATATGAGCTTGGGCAGACATGGACGTAAACTTCATTCAACTGCAGAGTGGTAATTATAGTTTTTGTCATTTATTTGGTAAGGTGGTACTTAAGTTACAAAAAGTTACAAAGTTACAAAAGATTGAGAGCTCCTTCTCTAACCTGTTAACTATAAAAAACAAGCAGCTTGCTCTGCTCACATGGTGTGTACAGGCCGTTAAGGTGTTTGAACTACAAACAGGTGGACAGTATGGAGGGTTGAAGAGCTCCAGAAATTGAAATTGAAACATCCAACCAGCTACAGAAACTACAATTTCTGACCTTATCCTCCTCAACAGAAAGAGTTCACTCCCTGTTATATTCACAATCAACACAGTAGCTTCTTGACTAAACTACAGCGACATGTTGAAAACATGTTGCACACATAGCCTTGAAAGGATAACACAGTGAGCCCTGATGGGAAACTGCACGCTCTCAATGCTCCTCCTTCTTCTAGTAATTCTGAATCTGCAAACTGTTTCTGGTATATCTGGCAAGTGTGGTCTTTTGTTGTTGTTGGTTTTGATGTCAATTCTGGATATCAGACATCAGACTGAATGTTAATTTAAGCTGCGAGGTCTGAGAAACCCAAAGTGAGTTTTTTATTTTTTATTTTTTTTAAGTATTGTTATTTGGCCTTTTATGCCTTTATTTGACAGAGATAGCTGGAGAGAGACAGCAAAGGGGGGCAGAGACAGAGGGGACGACATGCAGCAAAGGGCCACAGGTCGGACTCGAACCCAGGCCGCTGCGTATATGGGTTGCCAGCTCTACCAGCTGAGCTAACCGGGCACCCAAACTTGAAGTGAGTTTTTAATTTTGGCATACCACCAAGTCTTTGTGCGCAGCTTCAAGGTCACCTGAAGTAAAACCCTTAGTCATAGTCGGACCTGAACAAACTGGTACCGCTGAGGTCATAGAACAGGCAGAGAGACAGAAAGAAAACTGGACTGAACTGGAAGCTTTTAACTGGTTTGATCATTTACTGCATGCTATCCTGGGTCTCCTGCTCTGTGGCAATGAATGATAAGACCAGTTAAAAGCTGACAAGGCATCTTATATAAGGAAATGTTTCTTTCTCTCCCCAATCTGAAAATGATAGGAAACAATTTACAATATATTGAAGGCCTCAAATTACACACAATTAGGATTTGATTGATTTTTAATACATAACTTTCAAAACTTAATCCCTCCTTAATTAATTCTAAACTTCTAAAGGAACTGGGCTTTTTTAATCAGTCTGGGGTTGTAGGAGAAATTCTTCCAAAATATCGAGAGTTTTCGGAAGAATTACAGGCCCGGTGTGATGAATCAAGTCGCTTTATTACATGCAGCCTGGAGAGAAGACCTCAGCATGGATGTTCTCTTCCAAACTTTCCGAATGATCTTACCTTATATACCAACCAGTATACATAAGAACAACTGGTGACTCTTCTGACAGTGCCACTATAAATCATTGGTGAACGCCTTAGTAAATATGGAATGGATATACATTGATTTGATAATTACTTATAGTATGAATGTCTATATACAGTATATTTTGACAGTGACAGTGCATGATCTTCCTGCACATGTTGAAAATAGGTGCACTTTAAATCTAAAATGTAAGTGGGGCCCTAATGTCCTCAAATCTATATGCCCCTGGTTCAACCTCCGATCTGTATGCAGACTCATCACCTTCCTGGATGAGGCTGGTGACCGCTGTGTCATATGCAAAATTCAGTTTAACAGATGGGACTCCCGATGATGATATGTATGTAAATTAAGTAATTAAATAAGGTTGTGTGAATTCACCCAAGAGGGAAAGATCACATATAAAAACCCACATATGCTGATATTATATGAATTTATCACATATGAAACAAGAACTTCACATTTGATGCATGTGGTTTTCAAACATCTCACAATCAAATATAAGAAATCACATGAAATGTGTTTAAAACTAAATAATCAAATCAAACTGTATGTCTTCAGATCTTTGGTTTAATCTCTAACCTCAACAGGACATTTTGCTTCGCTGAGTCCCAATAATAGTCACATTTACCTTTTAAAAAGGGAAACAATGTTTCTTCCCTCTCTTTCTGCTCTCTCTCTCTATTTCAGATAAGAAGTGTAGTTTTTCCCCAACATGAGGAGTTGCAACAAGTGAAGTAGTTGCAATATGGAACAGACTTTTGAGAGGAGGAGGATGGGAGGTGGAGTTCTTTTGTCTTGCCTGGGATAAAGGAGGTGTGAAGCCCCAGAGAGACCCTGCAGAGAGAAGCTGACACTGCTGCAGCAGGAGTATTAACAGTATTTAGTACTTACAATTAAACAGCATATTTGTTGTACTCCTATAGGTGGGGGAATTGTATTTATAGTTATTGTGCTTGTAGTAACAGAAGGTATTTGTACTTATTGTTCTAACATTTCCTATATATTGGTAGTTTTTATATCTATTGTAATAATATTATTGTGGCAGAGTAGTGATATTTTTAGTAGTAGTATAGGTAGTATAGATAGTTGCTCAGGTGGTTATAGCAGCACTTAATGAATTCAAGTTATAATTAATAGAGTCGAATAGAATAAGTATAAGTGGAGTCCAGTAAAATGCAGGACTACGAGGAGTCAGTGTCATTCCTGGGGACCTGGGGCCCGTTCCAGAGGAGAGTCGTCTTCCTGCTCTGTCTCACCAGCGTTCCATGTGGATACAACATCCTGTCCGTCATCTTCCTGCTGGCTAGCCCCCCCCACCACTGCCACATACCTGCCCACAGCAACCTGAGCCAGGACTGGATCCAAGCGAGCATCCCAGTACAGGTCAGAACCAGTCAAAACTGAATCCTCCAGGCTGTATTCAAGCTGAATAATTCTGACAGTAATCAATGAAGTGAAAAAAAGTTAATGTAATTAACAATTAATTAATTATTTTTATTGAAATCAAAATCTTTTTCTAAAGTCTTTGAAGTGACTTTTAAAAATTCCATGTATTAACCAACATGTCCTGTAAAATACATCAAATACGAAAGACACATAAGTGTGCTCTGATCCGATGCCTCTATCAGATATTTCTGTCTACGGCATCATGACTACTTGTATGTGAAAAAGGTCGCTAGTGATGATGAGTCCACAGAGAATTTCCACCCAGCTCTGCAGTTGCCCTCTGCTCATCAGACCATTTCATTTCATTGTTTTGGTTTTAACAAAACTTAATCTTTTAATTAAACAATAAACAGTATTCCAGTCCTTCACTATGGTAAATTAATTGAATAAGCTTGCATGTAAAAAATGGTATAATCATTTAAAGTGTGAGAGTGTTCGCATGCATGTGATGCTGCTTTCTTCCAAGGGAATTGTGGAAAAGTAGATTTCTCTTACTGTTACTCAAGAAAAGCATAGAAGTTATATCAGGAACATTTACTTTACTGTAAGCACTGAAAATAACTTGGTATGCAGCTGATGGCTGCTGTCAGTGTTACAGTATATTGTTTGTTAAAATATTTCCTGATCAGTACTGATGCATAAATGTGTGAGAAGGCTTTTAATGTAGTTGGTAACAGTTGAGCTAATTTTAACTACTTTATATACTGATGGGTAATCTATGAAAATGTATCATATTTTATACATTGATCGTGTGTTTTGGATAAAAAATATTCATTATCAAGAAAAGAGTAAGTAAAGTAGTACCTAAAAAACGGTACTTCAGCACAGTACCTGAGTAAATGTACTGTATAGGACTACAGTGAAAATACAGTTGAAGTGTTGTATGCTAGCTAAACAAATACTTGGACATGCAGTCAGCTTATAATTTACTGTATAGCTTTGGACTGGATCCAGACTGTGATCCTTGTGCAGGTCACAACTGGTCTAGTCTGAACTGGTCTGCTTAGGAGCAGTCTGCCTCCCCGGAATGTTCTTGCAGCACAAGTTGGAAATAATGATTGATAATGATAATTTTTCTTGGTCAGCAGGTGGCCGGAGGTCCGGAGACGAGCAGTTGTAGCCGGTATGAGCTGGCCCTGGTTCAGAACCTGTCTGCACTTGGAACCAGACCCAACCTGGAGCTGGTCCTCAACCTGTCTGCGCTGGGATCAAGTCAAGAGACCCTCCTGTCCAGTCTGAAGCAAGAGGGCTGTAGAGATGGATGGACCTACAGTACTGAGTACTACGAGTCTACTGTAGTCAGTGAGGTACTGAGCTCCTGCTGTTATTGTGTCTATGATTCCATTAGTGACCCCCACCCTTGTCTACTGTACGTTACTGTTTAGACTCTTGTTAAATAAAGAACCAGACTTGTCAGGACAGCTTCTGTTTTGTAAAACATTGAGGGGTTGTGACCTCTCTCAGTGGCCGCCAATTACTGACTGCAGAAAGCTGCCTGAGGAACTGGAAATGACTGGACTGGGGTCTCCTGGTCTGCATACGTCAGCTATCTCTGTGATGTAATACAATACAACTACTGCTGCACAACAGCTGCAGCGACTAAACATGTTTTTAACTGAATGAAGAATTTTAAGTTCTATTGTGGTTCTAAGAAGAGAAAGTGTGTGTTCTGCATTGCTCAGTAAAGTATTATAGTAAAGGACCAAATAATCGTCTCAGTAATTGAATAACTGGCACTGACATACACACACATGAAATCACTTAAAAATATTCAATTCATCTGGCTGGAACTTTTAGTCAGATTATTTTTACTTGCAAATACAAAGGTTTTGAGGGTGCTTTTTTATCCAAATTGTGGTTTGTGGTTAGACAGCTCTTCTAGAAAGAAATCTAGAGAAAAGGGAGGACAAGGAGATGGACTCTGGGGGAACTGGCTATTAGGAGATGCCCACTGGAGGACTGGGCTCAGAAGAGCAGGGCACTGGAGAACAATTTCTATAGATATGGTAACTGAAAGACCAGAATCTGTACACTGGAAGACCAGGTTCAAAGGAGTTTGACAGGGCTCAGAGGAGATGTACCCTGGAGCACAGGGCTACACTGGAGAACTGGGCTTGGAGGAGCTGGATGTTGGTGGACAGAGGAAGAACTAGTTGGCTCAAACAGGAAACAGGAGTTCAAAAAGGTGGACAGAGAGCTGAGATGAAGAAAGACTCAGGACAAATAAACTCAGAATAGTCATTAGTAGATGAAAAGAAAAATATAGCTCAGGTCAAAGGAATGGCCAGACGTACCCGACTGATGGTGACCAGGGGAACTGTTCTTTAGCTTATGTATTTTTGAATGCCTGTTTAACATTTACTGTATTATTCCACATTGCATTCCTATGTTTAATTTATACCACTGTCTGCTGTTTTATTTCAGTTTATATTGTTATGTCTGCTCCAGAATTCCCATACATGTATGTCCCATGTCTTCCAGTTTAACCTGGTGTGCAGTGACCAGTGGAAACAGCCTCTGACCTCTCTCGTCTACTTTCTGGGAGGACTGTGTGGATGCTTGGTCTCTGGACAGATCTCTGACAGGTAGTTTTAAGTTTCAGTTCAAACTGTTTCCCATAGCCGCTCTTCTCAGTTGCTACGGAGTCAGCGAGTGTTCTGCCAAAGTATGTCTGGTAGTTAGCTGTCAGCTAACAAAGCACTGACCAAAGCCCATCATTGGGTCGTCTATGAGAAGGAACATCTCTTACCACCTGAAGGGAACAACAGCGTTTTGTTTTTATGTAAAAAAGCCACCCTTATTAACTTGTCATTTATTTATTATCACTTTTAAGATTCAGAAATATGGAATACCGCACACATTCACAGGAGTAAATCCCATTTATGCACACAGAATTAAGAAAAACTGCTTTCACATTTTATGCTCCCCATAGATGGAATAAGCTTCAGGGCTCAAGCAGGCAACCCGGCAGGTTTTAAGAGGTTTATCGAGGCTATAAAATCCACATCACGCATCTAATTGAGACCTGTGCTTATCTGTCAAAACAGTAAAGGGGACCTGCCTCTAGTTGGGATCCTGCTTTAATTGAAGTGATACAGTAGTATCATTGGAAACACCTGTGTTCCCCCTACAATAGTACATCACAATGTCAAAAATGATGCTGTGAAAAAGTTCTATATTATATCTTCCTACTTCAGTGACTCTTCTTAGACATGAATATCTGAATAGAGGTCTGTATACAGTATGTTGCTGTTATGGCTGACACCACTTCATTGTATTTGTACTCCAGGTTTGGCAGGAAGCCTGTACTGTTCAGCGCCATCGCCATGATTAGCATCTTCAGCTGCGCTGTGGCCTTTGCTCCGTCCTGGCCCATCTTCACCGTGCTCTTCTTCATGATGGGCCTGGGTCAGATCTCCAGCTACATAGTTGTGTTTGTACTCGGTATGGGTTTTTCATTTTCATGATACTGTGACCGACTTTTATCCTCCTCGCCACTGGTTGTGTGCTCTAGTGTTGATCGCAATGCAGTCTCATTAGAGGACAGAATAAGAGCATGTCTATATCAATGAGACACATTTGAAATTTTATCATCTTCTCTATGTGCTTTCAACCAACAAAATATCTTTACAACAAAAGTGAAAACACAGTTACTTTTGGTATTTTTTGCAAATCTATGGAGGCCCTGATAAAAAATTCTGATCAAAATAGTTTGTTTATGACTTAGAACCAACTTAAAAGGATTTTACTAGGATCTTTTCATCTGTGAAACGTGTGGGAAAAACGTTATATCAGGTTATTTTTCACATGTTTTAAATCTAAAATAAAGTAATCCTGGCAAAACTCTTTTCCTCACCGGCTCTTAAAGTCAAGACAGGACTGTAAAGAATTTAGATGAGACTTTTTTTCTTTCAGGCCTCCCTTGGTGTAAAAAGATCCATTAGTAAAGCCCTAAATTCCCTGAGTTTTTTCCTGCAGGTTCAGAGATCATGATTGGTTCGACCAGAGTTTTCTTCACCAACCTGTGGCTGCCTTTTGTCTACGTGTTCAGTATGATGCTGCTGTCTGGCACTGCCTACCTGGTCAGGAACTGGAGACATCTGTCACTGCTTATGGCCGTGCCAGGCATAGCCTGTATCCCCCTCTGGTGGTAAGATGATCTCAGTACACTATCAAGATATAGTTGCAGCTTGTGTACTACTTGATTAATTATATTGCAGATAAAAGGTGAAAGGATTAAATATGTCAGGGTTAGAGTTAGAAAACTGTGAAAACATGACTGAGAAAGAGTCTAATTCAGAGATAGATGAACCAGGTTAATCTTGAGTTTTTGACCAATTTCAACCAAACATTTTCAACTGATTTGTTTAGTTTAGTATAGTTTTGCTTCTCTCTCTGTCTGCAGGCTGGTTCCAGAGTCTCCTCGCTGGTTGGTGTCTTGTGGCCGTTTGCAGGAAGCAGAACTCCTGCTGAGGTCAGCAGCTCTGGAGAATCGAGTGGAAGCTCCACATTTAATTTTTGTCTCAGCCAAAGTAAGAACCTCTAACCTCAGCCTTGTTCCACACACTAAAGGACAGTGGTGGCTGTACTGAAGTTTCTGTCTCTCCACAGGTTGAAAAAGTAACAAGCCAGAGTCAACCACCCTCTACCCTCAGCTTCCTGGACCTGCTGAGGACCACAAACATTCGAAATATCACACTTATGCTGTGGCTCATCTGGTGAGTTCAAATAATTTCACACTGCAAGAATTTTCTCTGGAATTCAGGAACTTTTTTTTTTACTGCCAACAGCATGGTCCATCAGTTTGTCCATCCACAGCAAGATACAGCATCTCAACAACTAGCTTGCTCTCTTCTTTTTTTCAGGTTTTCTATGAGTGTTACCTACTTTGGACTGTCATTCAACATGTCTAGTCTCTATGGCAACCCCTTCCTAAACTACTTCCTGGTGACGGTTGTTGAACTCCCAGGGTACACTGCCAGCTGGCTGGCGGCATGCTATCTTCCTCGCCGCCTGTCCTTTATCAGTTTTACCCTGCTGGGGGCGCTAGCTCTGCTCCTCATTCAGATCACTCTGCACAGTAAGTAAGACCAGCACAAACTATCTGAGCTCTACTGCTTTCTTTCTTTCTTCTTTTCTTCTTCAGACAATGTGTTTCAATTTTACAAGAAAAAAAGTCTTTGAATGTATTTTCGTAAATTAAATGGTATCCCAGGTAATGGCTTTGGCAGGAGTTTCTGGAGTGGAAATGAGCTGGACAGAGGCGATAACGTCACCCTGAAACAGGAGCGCCTTGGCTCCCACACAGGGGATCTTTCAGTTCTAACGTAACCCTGTAGTGCCACAAAATAATGTAGTTAGCTGTTACTCTTCAGCTTTAACGGTAGGTTCTTACTGTAAATTATGTAGTAAGCTTGGTGGCCAAGAATGCTAACAATTACAGCTTATGTTAGAGGACAGAAACACACTGTTGTATCTAAGCCTTGCAATTTTCAAGACACAAATCAAGATGCCACCCTCCAAACCCGTTATATACAAAATGCCTCTTCTACTCCTGCCCCCCACACACACTACACATGCCTATGCCTGGTATTATTGGGTGAGCACTATGCGGGGGGGAGGGGTTTAGTGAGCAATCAAGTGCTTCAGAAATGCTTCGTTAACCCCCATCACTAACTCACAGCCCTCCTCCTCCCTGCAGGCCATCCAGCTCTCACCCTGACCCTGGTGCTGCTGGGTAAATTTGGCGTTCTGGCCGGCACCGGGGTGTTATACATGCTCACTGGTGAGCTGTCTCCCACAGTCATCAGGAACACAGCCATGTCATCCTGTGCCATGTTCTCCAGAGTGGGGTCCTCTGTTTCCCCATACCTGCTGCAGCTTGGTGAGATCTTTCACTTTGTACATCCAACTGTGGACAGTGTAGATATAATAAACACATTTATGCCTCAAATATGATTCATTTAAACCAGTTTGTTCATGTGTGAAGTTCTTAGTTTACAATTGAATTGTGCAATTTGTGACTTTTTCTATCTGCAGAGAATCACAATATTTACTGTAGTACCACCAGTAACAGTTGTAGTAGCTGTGAGCAACATATTTTCTCAAGTTGCCCTTAGTTGAACCTAATGATACAAATAGTTTTGGTTTTATGTGGTGAGGTTTTGAGATGACACTCACTGATCTGGTCCGGTTTTGTCTCCAGCTGTGTTTGATCAGTTCCTGCCGTGGATCGTTGTGGGTTCTCTGTCACTGCTCAGCGTTCTGCTCTGCTTCTTCCTGCCTGAGACCTTCAGACAGCCGCTGCCCGACACCATCCAGCAGATGGCACCCACACAGCGGTCAGTCTGCACACTCACATTACCCGCTGTCTGTGTGTCTCTTTTAGACAGAATTTAGACACTGATGGCAGCTTTATTGGGTTTTATTGGGTTTTTTCCACCAAAAATGTTGTGCGCTAGTTAGGGGTACTTTTGAATATTATTTTTACTTAGAATCAATGGTTTTTCAAACACTAACCTTAACCCTCAAAAATAAAACACATGCCTCCCATCGACCAACAATTATTTGATCGGATCAACAACCAACTGACCAACCATAAAATATTTGTTTTGTGTTGATTATAGCAATAATATGTTTAAAATCTGTATGAAAGGAAAATGTACCAATTTGAACCACGTTTATTACAAAAATGTGTTAAAAACACAGAACTAGGTACAGTTTGTACAATGTACAATATGGGCTATAAGATTGTGTAAGTGCAGTCTGAATAATGCAGTTCTTCTCATCTGACTTCCAGGTTCAGGTGGCCGTGGGCCTCCACATCTCCGGAAAAGGATGATGGGAAATTAGCTAAAGACCAGACTACTGCACCTGAGGTCATCTGCACAACTCATCTATAAGACTCCTGACAGACAAACAAATGAAAAAACTCAACTATGGACGACATGAAAACTGCCTGTAAAATTGTATTTTATTTTGTCAGGATGGTGGTGTTGTTTTCTGTGTCCACCTATGACTGCAGAGCCTCCAGAGATGCACTTACTGACACCCTATGAATAGTTTGTATTTCCATACAGCAGGAGCAGAGTGCTGTACAACAGTGAGACCACAAAATAAACTACTGCAAAGCTTCACTGACAATAAGGACTCAAATAATGACATTAAAGCTAAAGTAAAACCAAAGTCGGCAAAACCTTAAAATATTTAACAACATTTAAAACCACACTGCAGTTTACTTCCTTGCCATGGATCAAGTTCACTGTGTTTCCACTTATGGATTGAAACATTGCATTTGAGTTAATAGACATGACATGAATGTGACAATCAATCTCAGCATAAATATGGAAGAAATAGACACCATAAACGTGGATTAAGGTGAACGTGAATTCTGTTCAGACTCTGAGACGTAAGATTTATTCTGCTCCTGTAGCAGCAGTTAGTCAAGTCAGTTTTATCTATAAAGCCCAATATCGCGAATCAAACATTTGCTTCAGAGAGCTTTAAAATCTGTACAACATAAGACCCTCTATCGACCCTCGATTCAGATAAGATGTTTTGTGTACATGTAAACCAACTACAGTAATTATTAAAATTACAGTAGCAATGTAATAATTTGCAATAGGCTATAAACTTGTATTTTTCTGTGTACATACTGTATAGAATGTATTTTTGGTTTCAAGAGTATGATGAAGACAAACATATGGATGTTTATATATTTAATGTGATAAATAAGTTAATACATAAAAATCTAAATGTCTGTATTCATTATCTAAAAACTGTTAACTGAAATGATCATCTCTTATATCTCTTAATAAATATAATGGTTATTATTTAATATGTTTACATAATCTAATAAGATTTACCTTGTTGTTTTTGAGTTTCTGTTTTCAAAAGATTTTTTTATTTGAACATAAATCGGATCCTAAACGGTGATATTTTTCCGTTTCTGAGGGCACATGAACGCCTCAGTGGTCTAAACTGGATGGGCGGGGCCTGTCTGAATGTGGCCCCGCCCCCGGATACACGGCTCCAGGTTCATAAAGCCACACGGGGTTTTACCGGAAAAGAGGTTACTGGGCTTTCAAAATAAAAGCATGTAAAATTTTAGTTTTTACAAAAACCTGAATATATAGCAGTGGGTTATTATTTACAAACAAAAAAGCTAAAAAGTTTTCAAAGTAATCTGAATAATCTCAATCAGTAAAACCAATTGAAAGCAATCTGTCTCCATAAAACTGATTTTGTAAAATTCCCTCACAGAGCAGATCCCAGCTGAAATGATAGGGCCCTTAACTTAGACTTAGACTTAGACTTAGACTTCTCTTTATTGATCCTTTTGGGATGACTCCCGCAAGGAAATTGAATTTCCAGCAGCTTACAAAAACAGTGTAGAAAAATAAAGAGGTATAAAAAAATACAGTACAAGATAAACAGTATAAACAATAAACTCTTTGCTAGATATAGAAAGTATAAACAGAAAGTAGAGATAGAGAATAAAAATATAAATAAAAACTTCACTGGAACAATGAATCAATAAGATAAATGTATTGAGAACTGTATAGAGGATTAATAGTAATAATAAGTAAAAGATTCAATATAAGTGGAGTGGACAGTATCTGTGCGATTGTGTTGTTAAACCAGTCGATAAGTACATTAAGCCAGAAAATTAGCAGTTAAATAAATTATGCACTTAAGTGGTGGATCAACAAAAAAATAAGAATAATAATAAAAAAAATAAGTAAGAAGAGTGTCCAGGTACGTTTGAGTAGATTATTATCGCACAGTTTGGCATTTCTGTCCAAGCCCTAATAAAAAACACTTTAATATTTGTCATTAAAATCCTGAAATGATGAACAGCACCTTACATGGTACACTTGTGGTCAGTACAAGTGGAGTATTTTTCAGTTCAAAACAGGGATTTCTGCGATTTTCTCCCACCTCAGTAATACACCCGGCCCTGCAATTATGCTGCGTAATAAATAATAAATGTCTGTCCCGTTTTCCATGGCAGATGGCTCCAAATAGAATCTCAACATGTGACAGAATAGTTTCCAAGAATCTCAATGGAATAAGCTGCAAGCATTCATTTGTGCACTGAGCGATAATAAAGCCTACACTTTCTCTCCTTTTGCGTCTGCGTCCCAGTTTAAAGTTGTGACACATTTAGAGTTTTGGATGTCAGTTCGGAGTTGCGTGTTTTGAAGTCCTGTTTGGTGTTCTCTCAAAACGTGATTTTGTCTTTTGTTATAGCCCTGAATGCTCAAAGTGAGTGAAACCTCCCCAGCCGAGAGATAACTGCAGCATTTCCTCCAGTCAACGAAAGAAGGCCCTGTCTGTCGGCCTGCCTTTCTTTGTGGATCAGATTACTCAGTCCACGTTCCCTGTGCAGTGTGAATTATACTCTGACATGGCTTTCATTTCAGTACATTGTATGTTGAGCGTTTCACGAAAGAGTTTCAGACTAGAAATCAAGCCAATCTTTCCAATAAATCC